CATCCCCCTGTTGGTTTTTGTACATTTTGGAGAGGCTGTTCTGTGTCAGCTGCGTCACACGGATATGCTGTTTTCGTTCAGATCAAATCATAACAACGTAGTAAACAGATCCGGCTAAGAGCTAGTGGAGAACTAGCTCACACTTTACTTCTCTTGCTCTGCTTATATTATCTTAATGACGCACAGGTGTGGCCAATCAGCATCTGCTCCTGGCTACTGATTGAATGATGAGAAGTAATTACAGGGCGATGCTGAAGTGCACTCAGAATGCTCAGCACAATATATATATATATATATATATATATATATATATATATATATATTAGGGCTGTCAACGCTCACTGTGATTGTCTCTGAAGAGTGCGAGCTCGCACACGTCATGCGCGCTGTGTGAAGTACAGACTGAACGGATTGTCAACACATCCCACCGCTGTATGGCCAGATGAGATGCAAACTATGTTTTCTCGACTGGATAACCAGTCTCGCTAGTAAAGTTTTGATGGATGAAGATTGCAATCAAGTACAGTAAGCACACGTGAGTCCGTTATATTAATGCGCGTATGAGTGCTCTTGATGCACTGATCGCACATTGTATTTATGCACAGGCACAGACATTTCCGTACATTCACGTTGTTTCCACACATTCACGAATGTTTTGATTTGTCATGTTTATGTTGCTGTGTTTAGTTATACTGAATGGATCCGTGTACTGTAGTAGATATATGCAGTCAGCAGGTCTCTAAAATATAAAAAAGCTCTTTGCTGTTGCACTGTACACATACTATACAATTCTGAATTTTTTTTTTAATAATTTTTTTTTCTTTCATGTGTGCTTATATGGGCTCCTTATATCAATTGGTTATTTGGTGTCCTTTTGGAATTTCTAAGTGTCCCTTTTGGAAAGACATCTACATTTTTCTTGAAAAAAGCTTGCAGAAAATACAGATTTTTGAGAATCACCCTTCAATATTTTGGTTTACTTTGCTGGATATAGCAAATGATGACAAAATAAACATTTGAAACAAGATAAATGGTCTATGCTTAATTTTTAGTTTAAGTTCTGTTATTTTAGTTATGTGCTTTTGTCATTTTTATTCGTTTTTTCTGTTTCTATTTATTTACTTTCTATTGCTATTTAGCCTTAATGTATATTTATTTCAGTTTTAGTTTTAGAAATTTTAGAAATATTTTATTTCAGTTAGTTGCCAGGGCAACACTTCTATTTTTTTATTATTATTCTTATTATTTTTAAGACTATGAAGGTGTATTACAAGTGACAATAGGATGTTTTTATGTTGAGTTTAAGGAACGGCCACAAGTGGAATGCATTAGCTGTCAACTGCTAGACTAATAGATTGTCCATTTTAACCTCCGTTCACACCCATTACAATAAACGGCACGTCAACAAAGCTGCTGGAGCATAATTAACTGAATGAAGCACGCACCGGAGACAAAACGCATCCGCGGTGCCAGCGATACTTGGCAGTGGCGATATTGAGCTCTGTCCTGCAGGGTCGTGTGAATGAATTGAGCAGAGACTCCAGAGGCCGTGGAGTGGGCGAGCAGGAGTGCTCCGGCAGCTTCACACAGCTCTCAGGTGGCATTGATCTGCATGGCTTCCTCTCCACTCCCTCCTCCAGCGAAAACACGCAGCGCCAGCACTCCCCTTTCATTCTGTCTTCTCCTCATGTTATCCGTCTTCATTAATAAGCCTCAGTCTGCTGAATGTAGGTTGGCGTGTTGTTTTCTTACAGCTGATAAAGCTGATGGTAAATATTTAAGCTTGTTACATACTTTCTAATTAATAGATGTATAATTGAGTGTTGTTCTGTGTAGTTCTGTTGTCTGCAGTATCCTGCAGTACGGAAGATACTTTGAAAATTTAGTGCTTTCTACCCATGAGACTAAAGCCTTACAATCATTGATTATAGTAACCATAGTTTCCACAAAAATACCAGTTACTATGGTTACTTCATTAAAAATGTGGCACCTTTGTCTTTGGTAATGGATTTGTGGAAAATGCATTATTTATTTGTTAGTTTGTTTGTTTAAATCCTCTCTCTCTCTCTCTCTCTATATATATATATATACAATGTGTATATGTATATATATATATAATGTGTATATGTATATATATATATATATATATATATATGTGTGTATATGTATATATATATATATATGTGTGTATATGTATATTTGTTTAACTCTCCATAAATATGCTATTTATTTATTTATTTACTTACTTACTTATCTGCCTACCCACCCTCTTATAAAACTAGGTAAAAGTTGACCTGCAATGAAAACCTTTGGAAACTCTGATTTGTCATCATGGGACAATAATAATAATTTATACACACCAAGCTTTGCCACTATCCTTCAAACCAGGACCGTCCTTAGCTGACGTGTGACCGCAACAGTTGCACCCCCCTAAGGACGGCCCTGCTTCAAACCACTAGGTTTTTCCCATTTGACAGCAAGAAGTTTTAATCATATAACATATAATAAAATTTAGTATGATCACTTTTCCTTTGATATATTTTAATATGTACAGGTCAGAATAAGTATTATTATTATTATTATTATTTTATTTTTACTTAAATACAGTATATGCTACACTGAAAGAAGATGGAACATTATTTTCCCCATATTTTATTTTAATTTCCCCATATGTTATTTGGAAAATTAAGGTAGACACTTTACTGGCATTTAATATGATTTCATGTAAAATTACTTTTAACATCGAAATGAGACGTCTCGACTTTGAACCATAGAGTGGCAAGTATACGTTACAAAAGAGTGAAGTGGAACACAGACTAATCTTATCAACCTTCAGCTTTTCCACCCTGAATTGTGTTTGGCTGCTTTTGTATTGGCGTTTGAATGGAAGTGCTGTGATTCGCAGTCTGTTGAGTGTTTTCCAGCTGCCGCTTGAGAGAGTTCAGCGCTGTGAGCTTACAGTCACTGATTCCACTGACCTTAAGAGAACAGCAGTGCTGATTCCCAAAGCTGAATCACAGCTGCCTGCTGGATGCATTTCACTACCATCAGTTTTCTTAAGATATAGAGTCATATTTTGTTTGTTTTTCATTCTTTCACACTGCCAAAACAAATGTTAACATTCAATAAAAATAAGTATTTAGGAAATGCTTTTACCCAAGGCACCTGAATAAATTATATATGACAAAAGAGAGGAATTATTTTGGCAAAAAATGTGCATAAATAGCAGTATGTATATTTTGTTTAATATTTTACTATAAAATCACTATAACATTTTATTTATATTATTTGTTTTTAATAAAAAAAATATTTTATTTAAAATGAGTGGTAATTGTATTTTAACCTAAAATTGTTAATATGAATCTGGATGTTAGTCACAATAGATCATAAATTATTTCCTTTTTTGCTATGGAACATTATTTCTGAAAGGGTTATACCATTTCTGATTTGTTCGATTGGCTGAATTACTTATGCGTATCTAAATGTTAAAAGTTTTTTTTTTTTTTTCTCCGGTCTGTGTTTCACACTGAGAGATTGCATTTCTGGCACATTATTTAATGGAGAGCATATGAAGAAATTCATCATCAACAAAGAAGTTTTTGAGATTATAGTTTCAGTGCTAGAAACGTTTACATTGCTCCCATGAAAGAGCTGTACACGTTGCTTTTAGATGATGTTGATGTAATTTATATACAGTTAGGCATTTGTGGATCAAAAAACTTGTGACGAGATGACAAACTTGAGTGTATTGATGTATTTGCATATTTAAATTAAAAGATTTGCGTGTATATTTCTTTACAGTTTCAGTTTGTGTTTGTTCCTGTGTGGAAACTCAATGGGCACGTAGCGTAAGAGAAGACACAACTCACTTCCTCCATCCTTACTCACGACAACCTCTTTATTCTGCTCTTTTTTTTCCCGGTTGTTGTTATTGATCATTGTTCTCTAGGTCTGAGAGATTTAACTTGGATTGATTTTACATCAGCCTCCAACTTTGTCTTTGCTGCATTATCTGAGCCTCTTCTGGTGCTAATGCTTGCTTTATAGCGTTTGTTTATGCTGACACAGAAACGTGTTTTTGTATTTCTGTCCATAAAGAGACTGTAGAGAATCAGCTGGGGCAAAAAGGACATCAGGTTCACTCACTAAGGATACAAAGAGACAACTGTATCGCTACACAAGCACAGCAGTGTCATAGTTTCTGAAATGCTAGGCTATTTCATTTTTATTTCTGGTCATTTGGCATTTTGTAAGACATGTTTAAAGTGAATATGACAAGAGAAGAATATGCAATTGTTGTAATATTAACTGATTTAATTCTTTAAATAATTAAATTGAATAATTATTAATAAATAGTTAGCATTTAATAATAATAATTTAATTAATGATTAACTATAACAATTAATGATAACAATTTATATCTAATGTCAATATAATAATTTATTAAAACATTGTTTTAATAATAATTAATACTAAAAAGTAGTTTTTCTTATTATTTTAAAATAATATTAATAATAATATATTATGTAATATATTATAATAGTATATATTATAATTATTATTTTGTATTATTAATAATTAAAAATAAAAGCTATTATTAATAATGAATATTTAAGTTGTTGTTCTTAATTGTTAGTTATGTAGTATGTATTAATAATAAGTTATTATTATTACTGTTATTATTATTTTATTATTCCAAGTTTAGCTAATCTGTGACAATTATTGCACAAGGTTTTCTTGCACAAATGTCACTTTAGGGGCTCTGAAACAGTCAATATATAAATATATATATATATACATATACACACACACACACACACACACACACACACACATGTGACACAGACATTTGTCACAGACATTTTGAGCGAATCGTTTGACTGAATGATTCAGTGAGTCATTTATTATTTATTAAAACAGGGACTTGCTGCCACATACTTGTGGATTTAGTTTCATATTTATTTATCCATGACAGGCCTAAATATCATCCAATGTACCAACACAAAAACACATTCAGCAATATATTGTTTAATTATTGTTATCAACAGAAATCCCTCATTTCAGGCCCCAGAAGAAAACGTCTCCAGGTTACGCATGTAACCATGGTTCCCCGAAGGGAACGAGATGCTGCGTCGAAATGCTAAGGGAACGCCTTCAGTGTGACCACGGTCTGAATCACATTTGTAATCAGTCCAATGGATGGGCGAGACATCATGGGCGGGGTGACATAACGACCTGGTTAAAAGCACATGCGGTGGAACCGGCGTCAGCTTCTAGGAATGAAGCAAGCACTGACAGGGATGCCGGAAGTATGGTCCTGAGATGCAGTGTCTCGCTCCCTTCAGGAAACCATGGTTACATGCGTAACCTGGAGACGTTCCCCTTCAGGAACTCGAGCTGCGTCGAAACTCTACGGGAACGAGAATGCCCACGCCACCAGATTTACAAATCCCTGCCTAGTGTAGAAGAGCTCAGCTAAAGCGAGTCAGGAGTGGCGCAGAGAGCAGGTAGGCACCTGACAAAGTAGGCGGGGACTTCAGAAGGAGTGAGTCTTGACCCCCAACAGAGAGGGGAGATCAGAGAACTCAAGGCTATGGAATAGCATCCTGATCCACCGCTTAGCATAAGTTTCCCTGGCCGGAGTCCTCAGCCTCAGTGCACCGTGGAGGAAACGTGTCACCAGGGGGTGTCTGCCCACTGACTGGCCAGCAATAGGGGCTTGGTAGGCCGCAACCACGTAGACTTTTAGGGTGGAGTGGGTCAACCCTGCAGAAAAACAGACCTGCAGGAACTCCAGAACTGCACCAACTGGGCAGTTAGCTGGGTCGAGCTGGCGGTTCCCGCACCAAGAAGTGAAAAGTTTCCACTTCAAGGCATACAGTTTCCTCGTTGAGGGAGCTCTGGATTGGAGGATGGTCTCAACAACCTC